GAAAAATAACATTACACGCGTTTTCCGCGTATGTTTCCATAACGTACTATTATATCAGGTCTACAATCTTTCATACCAAACCCCCTCGGGCCAGATATGTTTTGGAATTCTGAGTTTTTAGGATTTAAGAACGATAGAACGAAACGTGTACCGTATATTACAATTAAGCGTTACTCTAGCGGGATCTGCAGCACACACATTAATATTTCTACGGCGAGCTTTGTAAATATTCAAACCTTATTGACAAAGAAAGACTATAAATAATAATTATTACCGTTTATTTCTCGCGTAGTATGCTCCACCTACAAAACTTGTGGGCTTCGGATGTATTTTTTAGAATTAATTTCTGAATTGCGCATAAAAGATTGTGGACCTGAATTCAGCGATCTGTGCCTGTAACCCAATTTCCGAATTCATAGATGATCACTACGTTGTGATAACAAGAGAAGAGAGGTGCATGGAGAACGATTTAGCAGACGTGCATGTTTACAAATGTTTCGCGATCCTTGTAAATGCCCCAGCCGTTGTTAGAAGCTTGCGTTTCGTCGTCTTTTCCTTTGTCGTTCTTCTCATCATCGGTCGCTGGCTTTTTGGACTGGACTCTCGACTGGTTCCCGCACGTGCTGCTCTGTGTATCTTTCACGTTCCCGCCTTTTAAATTACACCTGAAATATGACATGAATGCGTGACTAAAAGTTTGCAGGATAACCGTCATTTAAAGAGCATCGACAATCATATATTTTAGTATAAAGTTAAAATGAGACAATTAACGTACGCAACCCTGAGTGCTTGATTGTGTGACACACGAGTCAGTTATGATCAGCATAGAAATTAAATTATCAAATAGAAATCACTAACCATAAAATATGTGTTTGAGTTAGGAGTGAATGAGGTATGGCTAGCGCAGAAGTTTAGATGACCGATATTTGAGCTTCCAACGTCCTGCAAGCGTATGCTCGCTCCTAACCGTGACAATTATGCGTAGTTCTAATCAAAAAGAGATAGAGTGTGGAGACGGTGCCAAGAAGAGAGCCTTGTATGCGGCGGCACCCGCCGGTGAAAACTGTGAATCTCTTCACTAGCCCAGTAGCCCAGTAGGGCACCCGAAAATTATTATATATACCGTGACACAATACTAACAATCTACGCTTAAAAACCATTTCTCACGGCAGATGGCGCCAACCACACACACACGCCCTTGTACCTTGTACGTTGTATAGTTTTCAGTATAGCAGACAGGAACACTCACCTAACGTGCTGTTCCGGAAAAGATTTCGGCCGCCCAACTAGGACCTCTTGTAGTCCCATATTTAACACGCGATGCGGTAGAAAAGACAATAGAACCCGTAGATTGTTGGCGAGTGAAGACAAAACCTTTGAACACTAGCGTCTAGCGTTGCTGAAACGGAAACGAAATATCTCTATCTCGCTTCCGTTGGTCTCTCGCGTGCGCTTTCGCCCTTCTGCTCTGTCTCTTCGATTTCCTCTATCGGCCATCCCTCTCTCTCTAGCTCTCTCTCTCCTCTCTCTCTCTCTCTCTCTCTCTCTCTTCTCCTCTCGATGTCTCTCTCTCTCTTTCTTCGACCTCTCTCTCTCTCTCTGTGCGTTGCGCGCGCGCGCAGGTTGTGTGTGTGTGTGCCGTGTGGTGGTGGCGTCGTGTGTGTGTGTGTGGTGTGTGTGTGTGTGTTTGTGTGTGTGTGTGTGTGTGTGTGTGCGTGTGTGTGCGCGCGGCGCACGACGAATACGCCGTGCATTTGATTCGGTTTCAGCATTGCTGGATGCTGAATATTTTTCTTTCACTCGGCATCAGTCTATATGGGCGCTATGCTTCACTCTACCAGAACGCGTGTTAAATATGGGGCTGTTAGTTTCACTGTTGCTTCAACCACGCTTTTGCCCAGCTGGGATTACCGTCTCCCTCCCTTCGTCTGCTTCGCTGTCTTTGACCCCCCCCTTTTGTCTCTATTCTGCCTTTCCCTCCTTGCGTCTCTCTTTCTCTTCCTCTTAATTTCTCTTCATATCTCTCTCTCTCTCTCTCTCCTCTCTCTCTCTCTCCTCTCTCTTCTCTCTTATATATATATAGATATAGATATATATATCTTTCTATCTCTCTCTTTCTTTCTCTATCACACTCTCTCTCTTGCTCGCTTTCGCTCTCGCTGTCTCCCGTCCTCTATCGCTCTCTTTCTCTCAATATCTCTATCTCTCTATCTAGCAGGTTCTACTCTTGGTGCGCGCGTGCGTGTGCGTGCGTGTGAGTGCGCCTTTCTATCTCTTGTACGACTCATGCTTGTGTGGCATTTTCGTCTTC